AACCATTCTCAACAGTCTATTAGCTAGACAAAGAGCCAGCGCTAGACAAAGAGCCAGCTTTTTGAGTGTAAAGGACTTTACTTTAAGTCTGGGCAGTCAGTTGAAAGGTTGAGACAAGAACCTCCCGGTACTACAGAAAATGGTGCAAGTTTGACAGCAGGTATGGAAACAAAAGTTTAAATAATTAGGTAGCTGATCACACGGTTATGTCACATCTACATCATAAGTGCAACTAAAATCTATAGAAAGTAGTTCCATGCAGTCGCTGAATATTCTGAGGAAGGCATTGCCCCCACGCATACTCACCATCATTGTAACTGGTCAGAGACTTAGGGTTCATACTATAGATAAAGGGATATAACTTTACGATTGCATGAATAGAGCTCTCAAATTGGGTCGGTTATAAAATGAGAACACTTTCAGATCGTTAAAAATATACCATGCCATTTATTGTATCTAACCTGCTTGGAGACTGCGCGATGTTCTTTAGCTCTATACTAGCAAACAATTTGGTGTCAGATCAATTGAAATGTTAGACAAGAATGTACAAGGAGAGTTCCAGGTATGTGGAGACCACACATGTCTATCCGTCATAAAATGCTCCGATTTCGGTGCTGAGACAACTGAGTGAAATGTTGATAATAACCATTAAAGCGAACACTAACCGTTTGGAAGTCTTGGTTTACATTTCACGATTAAGCAGTTGCTGCATTGAGATGCGTAGCGAAAAACCTTTTAACCGACAAGCACCACCAAGGATCAATAGTTCATTAGTTCAATAGTGTATGATGGGATAAAAAAGCATTGGCTTTACAAGACCCATAGGATGGTAAATGCAAAATAAATAAAAATCATTAGATTCCGACATGGAATTGAAATGCCAATAGTCTAAACCTAGTACATGACACCACAATGTGTTGTTTGTCACTCAGATGAATGTCTAACAATTGTTTGAAGACTGCAATGTTCGGAGCGTTTACCACATGCGTTGGCAAGTCATTCCATTGTGAACAGATTCTAAGAGAGTAAAAATATTTTCTACAGTCTAATCGGGAGTGTTGGATTATCAGCTTGAGGTTATGACCTCTCGATCGCTTATATGAGGCTAGGGTGAGCTGCGATTTGCACGGGTGATCGTTTTCCGTTAGTATCCGGTATGCGAGAATGAGATCTCCGTGTAGTCGTCGGTATTCGGAGGAAAACATTCCGATTAAACTGGGACGCACTTCATAATGGAGACCAGATATTCCGCGTGTTGCTTTCGTAGCTCTTCGTTGGGGCTGCTGTAAGAGATGAATGTCCCGTTTTAACTATGGGCACCAAGTCTGGACAGCATATTCGACATGGGGACGGATATAGGAGTTGACAAGCATGGGTACCAACCGTCGTTCAAAAACACCAAAAGCTCGCCTCAACAGTCTCAGATTCATGTTCGCCACGTTTTCAACTTTCGAACATTGGAGCGAATTCCCCAGCCTTTCTTGCACAATGATACCTAAGTCTCTTTCTGTGGTCACGCGCCGTAAAACGTACTACTCCAAGAGATACGTGTTGGTAAAATTGCTGCGCAATGACAGTAGGTGACACTTGGCAGAATTCAGGAGGAGGTGGTTTATATCTGCCCATTTGTTGATTCGATCCAAGTCATTCTGGAGGAGGACACAGTCTGATGTTGAGCGAATAACTCTCCAGATTTTTGCGTCATCTGCAAAAATTTGCATCGAGGATTGAATATTATCCGGGAGGTCGTTAATGTAGACCAGAAAAAGGAGGGGACCAAGGACGGATCCTTGAGGAACACCGCTGGAGATGCAGAGGGTTTCCGAGAGGGCATCGGCGACTCTGACCTTGATCGTTCTGTCATGCAACTATGCTGCTAGCCAGGTGAGTAGGGAACCATGGATACCGTAGTCACGAAGCTTATGAAGCAGAGCTAAGTGATTGACTCTGTCGAATGCCTTCGCAAAGTCTAGGTAAATCACATCAAGGGGGGATCCTTCATCAAGCGCTTTGGTCCATGAATCCCGAGCAAGAAGCAGATTTGTGAGGCAAGATCGTTTGCGCCTAAAGCCGTGTTGGAGGTGAGAAATTAGCTTCAGACTCTTAAAATAGCGTGTAATTTCACCTGCAACTAACGATTCCATTACTTTTGATAAAACAGGGAGGAGAGTAATGGGTCGGTAGTTGGCAGGATCCGATCGCTTACCTCCTTTGTATATCGGAGTGACTATCCCGCTTTTCCACTCAGACGGAAGTGTTTGGGAGTTGAGTAGACTTTAGAAAGAGCTTGCGAGGTGTGTTGCTATGGTTGGAGCAAGAGTTTTAAAAACTTTGGGTCTGATCTTGTCGACTCCCGGAGCGCTATTTTCTCTTAGAGACCGTAATTTGCTAGCGACAGCTGATGGGGTAAAAGGGACAGTTGATATGCCGACCACGTTGGGTGAATGCTGGTTTGGCAAAGGTTCTATGGCGTTTGCAGTCACTGCGCCAAACTGCAGAAGTAATGCGTTCGCAGCATCCACAGCAGTAGTCGTTAGGCCACCATCCGTCTTGAGTGGTGGTATTCCTGTTTTAACTTTCCTTCTGCTGTTCACGTACCTGTACAGCAGTTTTGTATTGTTCGTGAATTTAAGTACCATGGTTTTTTGCCATTCGTACTTATCGGATCTAATCTGTGATGTGCAATATTTCCTCACTATTTTGTAATTCTCCCAGGTGGCGTCGCAATTGTTCAGCGCTTATTGTCTCCAGATCTCGTTTCTGGTGCTAATCCATTTACGCGTTCTGCTTCGGATCCAGGTGTTGGTCCGGCGCGGCACTCGTAATGGTATGACTTTAGAGGCTGCTTGCGTGACACAGCTAATTTTGTCTTTTAGTTCGCTCCACGCGTCGTTTGCCGTGCTCCGCAGATTGTAGTCCCAGTTGATGGTTGTCGCTAGGCTGTGAAGCACGGAATAGTTGGTTATAGTTCGTCGGTTTTCATGTCCGATTTCAGTAGTATTGGCGTAACACACATAGGCAAAATTTAATACTAAATGGTCACTGTTGCCTAATGGTGGGTCGTATGAAATTGTCTCAATCATCAACTCTTCGTTGGTTAGGATTAAATCCAGAAGCGATGGCCTATTTGAACCGCGGTGTCTAGTTGGTCGGTGCACGTGGTTGTACAGAGCTGCTGTATCTATAAACTCGAGAATCTTTGAGTTGAAGTAAGGACCACTAGAAGTCGCTCAGACAATTGAGGGTACATTAAAATCGCCCATGATTAGACAATGTGAGTACTTTTTAGAAACTGCATAATGAAGTGCGTTTAACAGTGGAGTTCGGTGGCCTGTAGACAACTGCCAACAGACAAGCATCCCACGTCTTCTTCGAAGGTTCACCACCTCGGCAATTTAGCTGCATTCGGCAAAACAAAGCGTCGGAGACAGCAAGGTGACGTTCGTTAATAGCCTCACATCTCAGACAATTCCGATAGTACAGAGCAACGCCGCCACCGCGAGATGGACGCTCAATGCAAATGATAATGCTAGTGCCCCGGTTCCACTGTGACGAACGCCGGCCAACACGATATATACACTACTGTATGTTAGCAAAGCAAATTGCAATCTCGGTTGTTATCGACTCACTCGGCTTTTATTCCAGGTCGAACGAAATCGGTGATACTTCCAACGATAACGAAGGCAAAATCGACCTGTATCGTCTGCAGTTTTTCAGTCCGGCGGAGCACGTAAGTCGATACTGTTTCAAGGTGACATGCCTCTCAGCGAACCAAATGAATTCATTTTAGCCTTTCAGATAAATGCGATTGATTATATATACATATATGTATATATATGCAATGGTCTACGAATAGATATAAAGCCATCAGAAACCATGGGATTCAAAAGAAGGTACAGAAAATGTAAAAGAAAACACAACACAACGCAAAAATGTCCATAATTTCTTCAGCGGGCGAGGTACTACCCGGTTGTCCACGCCGAAGTAGGGTGTTGACTTAGATGACACCGTCCCGAGCTTTGGGCTGAATAGTCTGTCCGCAAGGCACAGGAGCGAATTCAGAGGATCGCGCCCATTGGAAGCCGGTAACTGATGGCTTATTTCATAGGCCTTTCGTTTCTTCGTTTGTCAACCAGGGACTCAATGCTCCCCAGAATTACTGCACAAACTTGCTGGAATACAATGCTTCGCGAGGATGAAGCAAGGAGCAGTGACTTTATTTAGTGGCGAGTCACGTGCAGCACGTCACAGTGTTGGCTTCTTATAGGGAGAACGCTTGTCAAGCGAAAACTTACCACGTCCTGTAACACTGCCGCCGAACCATTTGCTGGAACGGGAAAATCCCGAACCACCCAGCGGGCACCATGAGGAGGTTGTTCGGCAAGCCAGCAAGCAATTGATAATAACCACCTATAGCGAATACATGTGCTTAAGAAAACCTTAATTAAGCATCTACAGGGGACTACAGCCTATCAGTTGTGTACTGACTTGATATAGCAGCATCATCTGAATGCTTTCTGCAGTACAAGGGTTCATTTAATGTGGCAGAGATATATGCTCATAAGCTCAGATTGTTAAAAATTTACTGCATATGAGATTGCAGCAAAATTTCTTAGGTCAAGTTGTTTATTTGATAGTCGGACTGCTCGCTGATCTCACTAATCATGCTGCAAACGCTTTGTCACTAATCGAGGCAACATCATCAACCCAATGAGGATGTGTTGTCAGCAGAATAGCCGGACTTAGCGAACGATTCAACTACCTGTAGATGATTCGTTTACGGTAACTATGTATACACGGGTATAAATCCGTCGTGTCTAGGCAATAACATAGTTTGGGCGACAGAAGAAGTAAACCAAATGTGTCGGTGATTGTCTCCTCATCTGTGGTACAACACCGCACCAGACACTCAGTAATCTGCTCATGCTTGACAGTCCGATAGTACGCCAACACAACAGTTTTACGCTGTTTCCAATTGATTACCATAACTGTATGAAAAGCAGAGGATTTCTCAACTTTTGTATCGGAGTAGAAAAATCGCAAGTAGATCGAGTTAGACTTCTAAGATAGCTATGATTCCTGTGTATAAACTGATCGCTAATTTTCAAGCAAGAGGCAATTATGAAATCCAAAATCCAAGTCATTTAACTGGTCACTTCTTTGTCGACAGAACTAATTGAAATGATTGGATATTGCAAATCAGTACCCCATGAGAAATTGGCTTCGCTACGTTCCTGCATTTTGTTGGAAGAAGATAGCTAGGCTTCAGTGTTGGGACTGAAGTACCCACCGTGTTATTGAGACCTAAGTTCAATTGAAGCAGTCCTCGGTCATTCCAATCATAGGGATTGTATCCGAAATGGAAGAAAAAACTGGGCTATGTGTCGCGCGACCGTAGGTCGACTGCTTCGCCACTCTTGGTGACGCTATTTTAACAAAAGCACTATATGCTTAGAGCATTTCTCTTCCACTGAACCAACTCAGTAAAATACCAGCCCACTTTGGCCGTTCATTCGTGTGGCAGAGCTATCGCAGGTTACATGAACATCTGTTCAGTCAGCATCACTTTGACCACTCAGTTACAGTAACCATGCTAGACCCGGAAATGTATTGGTCTTAAGCAACCGATGGCGGACTTCGACACTTCCTTTTTGCATACTTTGCTGTATATGTAAAGTAGGTACATCGGGCCTTGCAATATGTGCTCAAATTCCCAGTAAGAGGAGATCAACAAATAAAACTCATCCGAACAATTACTCGTTGAGTTGTGTTGATGTTATTAGTGTTAATTTCTGTTCGTGTTAAAATTAAGGCTGTCCCCACATTTCAAAGTTGCATTTTGTAGGGCTAATGTAGTCCGAATGGTGTTTTGCTTAGCTGTGGTGCACCGTGTGAAGTAACCTGCAAACAATCAGCAGTATTACGATTCACAAATACCAACGACCAGGCTTCAATCCGTTCACCTGTTTCTACTTCACGATATGCCAATTTTTCGATCCAGGTACCATCTGAAATGACGACGAAAAGTTTGCTCAACCCGGTTAATCGTTTGGACACAACACTAATGAACACGGCACACCGCGTCGAACTGCCCATGATCTGTTCTCAGAAACAAAGTGAGGTAATTAGTATTGGAATGAAGTGACATCAACCTGCTTAGATGTCTTAGGTGACTAACTACCGGTGAAGCATCTGTTGTCATATTTACTTACTTGGTATTACCTACCAGGCTGATTGGCTGTTTAAATTCCATAAGCTAGGGGACTTAACTGGAATTAACGCTGGTCAGTGAAAATCAGTAGAAGGCTGTTTCAAGGATATCACTTTAGTTTCGCACAAGGGTCACCTGTTTGCAACCTTGCACTCTTAGAGATGTGTCAGCGCCTTACTTTTGAATACAAGGTCAGCGGATGTAGGTTTTACGCTAGAAATACTTCTGCCCCTCTTATTAGCCCAATTCTAGAGGTTGTACGGAAGCGAAGCAACAGAACAAATTATTGGTGCATGGCTATGGATGAGAATGGTTATGCGGTACGGAAAAACTACCGTGTATTTGCAATGATTCTGAATACCTGTGAGAAAGACTATGTAGGTCAAACGGGGAGAAAACTATCCACAAGAATACAACAGCCCAAGCGTGCATCTCGATACCATTATGTATCGTCATAGATCTCAGCGGATCTCCATGAGGAAGGACACAACAAAGAGACAAGAAAAGGAAGGAAATTCCTCAAGGCATGGTTCTCTGCGGAGAGTTGAGTAAACCTCCGTATTGATCTCGATCCTGTGTACCTACAGCTGAGAAAGCGTGAAACTGGGCGGCCAAATATCGAACAAACAGAGGTCACGGGACACAGATCGACGAGGCCAATTTCAAACGCTACGTCCGGACGACACTTTCCGTGAGATTTTCCTCTACGGAGCAGTGCACCGAAGATGCCACTGAGGGAAGTGGTGAAACGTTTGTCATTAAATTACTCAACTCGGAGAATGAATCGAAACGTTAACTACAGTGTATTTAGCTTTCCACCCTTAATTCCAATTTGCACAACGATATGCTCCGAAGTAGACCTTGGTCATTTTGAAAACTGGAACTGTAATTGGGGGTGAAATTTTCTATCGTTACTCGTTCCCAACATCATCCTACAACAGCCTTCGTCCCAGTTCGGACCCATCGGAAATATACAACCGTACTTGGGGGTAGAGACTTTGGTGTAGAGTACACTTTGACCCATTGATCATGAAACAATGGAACAATGGGTTATTACTCGTAAAAAATCATTGCTTAACAAGTCCCGTGGGATGGAAATTATTGCGAAAAGTGAATTGCATGATAAAGTGAAAAACGTTTTGGGGGACTCACCGTAGACTTGTGTAGAATAGCTGAGATGTTCGCGTATTAAAAGTATAGATACATAAACTCATTGTTTGGGAGTTTAGTAAGACCTCGTTTGATTGCGTTTTGTAGCCTCTGGCTATAAATTCAGAAAATGAAATGCAAACGAGACAAAGCATTGTCAACTCATTTTCTAAATATCTCCAGGTTGGGAGCAGAGGCGACCTAATTAGGGAGGACGTTCCAAGCCCGGCACACGCGGAGGGTAAAGCAATTTCTACGGCATTTAAGCCGGCAATACCGTATTTTCAGTTTCAGGGGATAACCTCTTAGGTTAGTGTTGTGGTTCAATTCTAGCAGTGAATGGCAAATGTGGTTTGAGTCATAGAGAATCTGGTAAATCTTTATGAGATCCCCTTGCAAAAGCTGATATCGACTGCTGTACATCCTTAGAGATTTCAGTCTAATCAGATGGAGCAGGTGAAAGAGGCCCGTGACGTTCTTGGTTGCCCTTCGTTGAGGAACCTCGAGAGCAACAAGATCCTGTTGCTGCCACGGCTGCCACACCGGAATAGCATATTCCACGTGCGGTCGCACGTAGGCGTTAAGCATTTCGGGTAAGATTAAGGGTTCAAACCAACCGAAGGTTCTGCGAAGAAGGCCGAAGTGTTGTTTGCCGGTTGATTTGAAAATCCGAGATCTTCCTGTACCAATGCACCTAGATCACGCTCCTGAGAGACCTACTGCAAGGCATGGTCTCCAAGCTTATAAGCTTTCACCGGCTGGTGACGCAGATGTATCACCTTGCACTTAGCTATGTTCAATTGAAGCATGTTCCTCTTTGACCATTCATAAATGCCATCTAGGTCATGTTGGAGTAGATCGTGACCTGGCTCGTTACTAATCGCCTGCCGTATCTTGACTTTATCGGCGAAAAGCAGAAAAGTTGAGGAGATAACTCTTGCCAGGTCGTTGACAAACACCAGGAATAAGCGCAGTCCCAGCACTGAGCCTTGTGGAACACTACATTCCACCTGAATTTGGTTAGGGAGTGATCCCCTAACGCGTACTTGAAGCTTCCGTTGGTGAAGGCAGCTGATAATCCAACCAAGTACAGGATCTCCGATTGCGTAGCTCTGTAGCTGCTGAAGTAGGATGCGGTGATGCAGGCGGTCGAAGGCTTTGCAAAGTGCAGATATATAATGTCAAATCCGGCCCCATCATCAGCCACTTCCGTCCAACTAACTCGTGCAGTCAGTAGGTTGGAGGTGCATGACCGGTGTTGACGAAAGCCATGCTGCTCCGGTACCAAGATTTCGCCTTTTTCCAGGTAGTCCATTAAAGCTTCAACGACGACTGCTTCCATCACCATCGCGAGCACAGGGAGGAGAGTCACTGGACGATAGTTTGCAGGATCTGAACGGCTACCGCCTATAAAAACTGGGGTGATAATGCCACACTTCCACATAGTGGGGACTTGTTGTTCATCAAAGCACCTTTGGAAGAACTGTGACAATGGTTCAGCAAGCTTGTTGGCCACAGCCTTCAGTGCCTTCGGGCGGATGTTGTCTGCTCCCGGAGAACTGTGTTCACGCAGTGAGAGTAACTTCCTTAGCACAATTGATGGGTTGAAAATTACATTCGTAAACGTCGGCCGGTGGCCGAGTAGTCTGCACGTTTGCTCTGCAACCATAAGGTCACCGGTTCGAATCCGCGTAGGGGTGGGCGTCCTCGCGGTTTACTCAGCCTGCGCGCGACTGGTGGTGGTCGCGCGGCAGCGAAGCGCCGTTACGGCGTACAGCTGACACATCACTTTACTTTTATTACATTTGTAAACATTGGGGTCGGTAATGTGCTTGATATTATGGGACAGGTAGATGTTGCAAGTTCGAAAATTGGGGCGTATTGTAGCCGCAGGGCATTAGATGCTTCTTCCGTGCTGTGTACTCTACCGCCTGTCGTGCAAATTGGAAGGATTCCATGCTTCACTTTATGAAGATTATTGAAATGCCTATATAGCAGTTTGTTGTTTTTCCATGAATTTTTGGCTAGGCACTGTTGATAAGTTCCTTTGTCCTCACGGACAAGTGCAGTGCAATGGTTGCGATGGGTCAGGAAATTACCCGAAGTCGCTGAATCAGGGTTAATCTTGTAGGCACGCCATGCTGAATACCTTATCGCCAGGCATTTTCTAGTCCTGCTCCTTAGAATTGAAGGCATTTTTAAGGTACGAAGTGGGTGGTCTCTGATGCTATGTTGACGATGTCGCCGACTCTATTAACGAACTCTGTCTACATGTTGTCAAGTGGACTTTTGTTTTAGAATTCCCAAGCAGCTATGTCGGCGAGTTCTTTCAGTACGTGGTAGCGTGTGATTGTACATTGAGTTCATTGAGTTCATTGAGTTGTAGAGAGCAGGAGGGAAATCCCTTGTCAGC